CCGACAGTAAGAATTTGCACAGTGGAGTTCCAATCCACAAAGCGGGGAAGAGAAAATAGACAACAATCGTGATTCCAAAAGAACAAGAACCAAAAAACCCAAAAAAATAATGGCCACCTCAAAGTCGAGGGATCCAGGGTGAGGAAAGACAAGAGAAAGAGAAAGGGGTAGAAGGAAGCGTACCTAGACAGGGAAGAGAGCAACAAACAACAGCCAAAGAACAAAATTGGAGGAGAGGAACAAAGCAGGACTTCGAGTCGAACCCAGAAAGCAAAGTCTAGAGTAGAGAATAAGGGAATTGCGTGGAGGAAAGCCCAGAAATCACAGAGAGAAAGAGCCAGAGACGAAGGTGAACAACATAGAAGATGAACGGTGGTTTTGTACGTTTTCTTTTAGCCGTTTTGAGCATTTAAGGCTTGAAAGACATGGGATAAGGCGTGCGTGGGAACCAAGGGAGCCATGATTGCTACCACCGTCAAAAAGCCCCTCCCACGTGCATCTCACATGTAGGCTAAGGTCAGCTAAGCGCAGGTCTGGTCCAAGGAAAAAACAGCTCAGCCCACCCAAGCTCGCTTAGGCCAAGGGCTGGGGGGGCAACTGATGATACCTCAAAATAAATCTAAAATGCCAGCTCAGGAGGTCAGCTTAGCCCAGGAAGTCAGACTAGGCGAACAGAACTCGGAAGAGTAGAGCTGGATGTCCCTTCGAGATAAGCAAGGGCAATAACAACCAAGGCAACAGTTGGAAGATCACGAGAGGTTCCTAAAAGCGTTAAGAAACTATAATCAAGGCACCTAATCTCAACCAACCAAGATCTTTTTCTAGAATTAGGGAGAATCCCATGAAATAAGGGCAAGAATCTCGGCCAGGATCCCACTTAGCAGGAAATGGTCCTATAAATGCACTGTAACACCTCCTAACAATAGAGAGGACCCTAGAGGCAAGAGAAAGCCATAGCAACTTTGTAATCATCGTNTCTAACTGGTCACAAAAGATTAATCCATAATCTGTGAAACCAATTTAGAATATTATCCCATCATAATTGGGCTTGAGTCATAAATTTCGAGCACCATCAAAAACTAATATTTTTTGGTGCAAAATAGAGGTTTGAAAAATGAAATAAAAAGGTGAGAATTAAAAACATTCTTACAACCGTCTGGAATATTTCTAAAAAAATTGATTTTTTCTTAGAATCCTTGAATAAGTTATATTTTTTAGTTTTTTCTTAGTATTGATAAAAATTATTTTTGTCTAAAAAGATTGATAAAAAAATAGTCCAATAAATTCGCGATCAACCTTTTTTCCTTTGAAATAAAAAAAAAATTTGAGGTTTTCAGTCCACCCCAAGCATGCCCGACATCTAAACTAAAACAAGGAAAATATGATTTTTGTGATAGAATATCATACTTATCGCGAGGCTTAAAATATCTGTCTTGTTTGTTTCTTTGATGTCTTATGTCAGTGACCAATTTGTGTTAAGTTCATTTATCTTTTATGAATGACTGATTGTGGTGGATGATTGATGGGTAGTCTTAGATTAAGGTTGTTTAGAAAAAATGAACAAAAAAACATGTTGAAAATAAGGAACACGGAGCAATTTCAATGAATTCCCGTAAAACAGACCTTACGGTGGGCGTCCTGTTGATTTGGGTAAGGGTCAAAATCATGTCATGACATTCGTGTACGTGTCCTATTATTTATGAATTTATCTCAAACACTAATCACCCTTAATTTAATTTATTTGACTAATAATGTTATATTAATTTAATCTATTTATTTTTGTGTCGTGTTTCATATAACTTGTGAATAAAAAATTTAACTTTTAAGTTTTAAGTGTAAGATTCTATTATCACTTAATTGAAAACTATGCTCACACTTTTTCTATATACTAAAAATTATCTTAATAAAAATGAGTAATAATATTTTTTTTAACAAAAATTATGTCAATACTTGAAAAGAAATAATTTCAAAAATGATATTTTATTCCAATAATATTAGTTAAATGTATTAATTGTGTTAATTTCGTATTTGTATTTGATACTAATCCGATCTATTTATTATTCATATTCACGAGTCATGTCATTTATGGGTTCATGTCAAAAAATGATCAACTCTATTAAGTTAACTTCATGTCAATTTCGAGTTGTGTCAAAAATTATCATCCCTAAATCGGGATCGAGGTGCAACAAGTTTCTATGAGATTTAAGAAAGGGTTTAATCACCTTGACCCAACTATGCCTTCACTAATCCATGCATGTTTTGATACAACGATAAACACTTTGATACAACAAATCCGAACCAACGACCTTACCAACATTTTTCTTATTGCGTGAATTTATCATCATTGCTCCCCTAATTTCGAATTGAATTGCCCATCACAAAAAATAAAAAAATAAAAAATATCTTAGATTAGTGGACTTAATCAAACAAAATATCATTTTCCACAATGTGGAACATTTGCATCCACTCATGACCGGTCCCCTATTATTGTCCCATCGTGATGAAGAGTTTCAAACCAAAACGGAAACCGCCAAACTCCCACGTTGCTTTGCCGCTGTGATATTGACACACATGCATATCACGTGCACAGACAATTATAATATCAACTCTCACCCGTTCGTACGAATTCATCATAAAATTAATATGATTATTAAATACGTATAATAAATAGTTTAGATTAATGTTAGAGACTCTAAACACATTAAATAAAATTTTTTTTTCCGTGAGTTTTGACACGAATACTACGACATGTGGGTCACGAACACGATATAGACAATAATGACACCACATAAAAAACACAACATGTGAGCCACATGAACACGACACGTTTGATACGCCTAAGTATGGTATAAAAAAATAATTTTTTAATTTAGTAAAAATTCGATACATGATAAGTTATTTTATTTTTTGACGATCAATGCTCACAATTAATTTGAAAGAAGATCAACGGTCAGAATTAAATCAAGAGGACTATCCTATGTTATATGAACCTATATGTAGGTATATATGTGTATGTATGTAAGATCCTAATATAATTACTCACTTGTATTATTATTATTATTATTATTTTGGGTTTAATGGTTAAGGTTATTTGGGTCAGTTTACTCTTACCTTGACTAATCCCCTCATTTATCCTGTTAAAGGCAAGACATCTACTCTGAAACTAGAGTATTCATGAGTGACAAATTCCTTATGACCTGATTATAAAGAAAAAATATTTGGTGTAATCGTAACATCACGTCAATAGTATCACGTGATGTAACTATCAATTAAAAAATAAACAAGTTTGCAAGTGAGCTCTACAAAAATTCATAAACCAACCAATCATATAATACATAACCACCTCCATAATAGGAAATAAACCACATTTTATCCAATTTATAGTTTTTCTATAAGATGATTACACCACGTTAGCATTTATGACATAATATAATCGTTACACCCAATATTTACTCGGTCTCAAAAAATTATTACGATTCGAACTCAAGAAGATTAGAATTATTGTTCGTCCTTGCTACCATTTAATCTACTCCTTGGGGTTAGTCACTTACATTATCATGTAGCCAACTTGAAACATTTTAATAGTAATTTAAATTAATATTTTTTTAGTAGAAAACTTAGAATGAAATTTAAAATTACCTACACTGAAATTATTATTATTATTTTTTAGTTTAACGGTTAAGGATGTTCGAGTTAATTTATGTATATATCGATTAATATCTTTCTCAATCTGATTAAAAATAAATTAGTTATACTAATATTATAATATTTATAAAGGAAAAATCACTTCTCACTGCGTTGAAGTTATTTCCAAATGTAAATAGAATCGCCGTTAGACCCCATGAATGTGATTTAGAATTAGTGATGAATCTGTTTGACAAATCTGTGGGTATGTTTATTATATCCAGGTGTAGGGTTACGAAGTTGGAGACTTCCGATGGTTGTAGTAGCAGTCAAAAATACAATGAATTGACCGAATCTATGGGCCTATTTGGGGATACAGCAGTAGTTGTAAGGTGACTTCGAGTAAAATTTTTGTTCTTTTTAAGAAAAACTGTAACATTAGATAAATATAATTTAAAAATATAATATGAGGATTTAATATATTACGACTGAGCTTCTGGACCCACGACTAATACATTAAATCCCAATGCTCTCAAATTTGAGAGAGAATTTGAAAATTATTTTGTATATATTTTATAATTTTTCAAATTTTTTATTTTTTTTTATAATTATTNATATTAAATCCCAATGCTCTCAAATTTGAGAGAGAATTTGATAATTATTTTGTATCTATCTTATAATTTTTCAAAATTGTAGTTTTTTTATAATTATTAGGCATATTTCACCCAATTAAATTATTAATATATATCCATTATTGCCAATGAAACTAATCATTTAATTTTTTTTTAAAAAAATTCCTTGAATTCATTGTTGAGTAATTTTCTAAAATGGGTAGTTTACGAAAAAAAACCAAGAGAATAAAATAATAATATTTTTGACAGTGAATCTTAGACGGACTCAGAGCTTTGCTGCAGATCTCAAATTATTTACACCAAACTGTTTTACTAGGGTGACCCATAAATATTTAGGAAATTGTAGATTAGCCACATTACTTTGGGGGAAAAAATTTAAAATAAAATTTCAAGAGATAGTTCAAGTAATAATAAAGAAAAGTAAAAAATTTAGACATTTTAAGTTCGAATCTTGATAACTATTTAGGTCTAAGCTATTAGGAATTTGTCCATAATAAATACTCTAATTCTAGCATAAATGAAAAAAATTAGTCCAATTAAATAAAAACAAACCCAAACACAAATTCCGGTAAAAAAAAAAAAAGTTAAAAAATCGAAGTTTGGGACGCATAACAATTTAGTAGTCGTAAATGTGAACTTATCAACACAGTCATACACGCAAGCGTTGACTTTTCAAAATTGATTGCCACGCACTTATAAATAGCTTATGAATCCAACATCACTCAAACTCAAACTCTACACAATACAAAACAAATTCAACAACAATGTTCTCTTGTTCTTCCACCACCACCGTTACCGCCGACATGGCTGGTAACGCCACCGCCATAACAGACGTCCATCCAGACATCATCCGAACTCACATCTTGACTAGACTCGACGGCCCAAGTCTAGCATCCACTAGCTCAGCGTCCTCCCACTTACAATCTCTCTCTTCAGAAGATGAACTATGGAGAGAGGTTTGCAACTCCACATGGCCGTCCACCACTGACCCACTAATCAGCACCACCATCTCCTCCTTTCCCTCCGGTCACCGGTCATTTTTCTACGACGCCTTCCCCACTTTTCGCCANCACCACCATCTCCTCCTTTCCCTCCGGTCACCGGTCATTTTTCTACGACGCCTTCCCCACTTTTCGCCATTTCTCTCGTCCTTCGCGGCCCAATCGCCACCCTTGGCCTTCGGTATTTGAACTCATCTCAGCCGTCGATGTTCACTATAAAAACAAGCTTGTGTTCTCTCAAGCTCATGTGACCGAGACTGTAAGCTTGTGGTTCCAGTGCTCACCGTTGAGAGTTGACCTTCTCGACTACAAAGAGACCGTGCCGACGCTGGTGAAATTCTCGGGTGATGAGGAGACTTGCCGGGCAGATTTGGAAGAACACATGAGCTTGAGCTGGATTCTGATCGATCCAACCCATAAACGGGCGGTGAATTTGTCGAGCTTGAGGCCGGTTTCGGTGCAGCGCCACTGGTTGACTGGAGGCTTTCTGGTCCGGTATGCAATAATACTGGCCGGAGATCTCGACGGTGATCGGTGGGAATCGGTGCAGTGCAGTTTGATGGTGACTTGCAGGCGAGAGCAAGGAGGAGAGTTGCAGGTGAAAGAGGTGAGCATGCAGGTGGAGGACTTGGATGGGATGATTTTGAGCGGGAATGACAGCTTGGTATTTTTGCAAGAGGCCATGGAGAGTGAGAGGAGGAAGAGGGGGAAGAGAGAGGAGGAGAGAGAGAGGTATGAGGAGTATTTGGAGATCAGAAGAGAGAGAACAGTGAAAAAACAGAGGAGAGAGTGGAGGCTGGATATGGTATTCATAGCCACCAGAATCACCATTTTTCTGGCTTTTTTGGCTTTTGTTCTGCAAAGATAATAAAAAAACAGTCATCGTTTAGAGTTACGACGGTTGGGGTTTTTTTTTTTTTGGAGGGGCAAGGGGGTTTCAGGGGAAATAGCTAGAGTGGTGAGTAAGAGTTGAAAATAGTATATTTCGTTTATGGAAAAATTTCAATTACACTTCACTAGTTTACTATATTTTTAAGAATATTTTTTTTATTTTTAAAAATATCATTGACACCCTTTCTACTTTATATTTAAATATTACTAACACTCCTACCATTAAACTACAATTTTTAACAACAAAACAAAAGAGAAAATTTCAACGACATCCCCTCTAGTTTACCATATCTTCAAAGACACCCCCTCTATTTTTTGAATTTTCAATGATACCTCTTCTAGTTTAATTCAAACATCACTAACACCTTTTACCATTAAACTATTATTTCTAACAAAAAAAAATTCATCTAAAATACCAAAAATGCCTCTACATAACCTCAAATAATTTTTTTACATAAAATTTTATTAAAATTTGAGCTGTTGAAATTTTAAAAAAAATCATAAATAACAATTTTAGTAAATAATTTGTTAGTAAATACTAATTTTTTATTTACTAATTCATAAATTTAAAAAAAAAAATTGAGCCTATTAATTTTTTTTTTTACATATTAAAATTTGAGCCGATTTGAATTCTACTCGAGTTGTTAGCGCTGATTAAAATTCTCTTTCAAGTCNATATAACCTCAAATAATTTTTTTACATAAAATTTTATTAAAATTCGAGCTGTTGAAATTTTAAAAAAAAATCATAAATAACAATTTTAGTAAATAATTTGTTAGTAAATACTAATTTTTTATTTACTAATTCATAAATTTAAAAAAAAAAATTGAGCCTATTAATTTTTTTTTTTACATATTAAAATTTGAGCCGATTTGAATTCTACTCGAGTTGTTAGCGCTGATTAAAATTCTCTTTCAAGTCGATTAAAATTTATATTTTTTTTACTTATTAAAATTTGTGTCAATTAAAATTAGATTTATTAAAATTTAAGTCAATTAAAATTCATATATTTNTTTATTTACTAATTCATAAATTTTAAAAAAAAATTGAGCCTATTAATTTTTTTTTTACATATTAAAATTTGAGCCGATTTGAATTCTACTCGAATTGTTAGCGCTGATTAAAATTCTCTTTCGAGTCGATTAAAATTTATATTTTTTTTACTTATTAAAATTTGTGTCAATTAAAATTAGATTTATTAAAATTTAAGTCAATTAAAATTCATATATTTTTATATATTAAAATTTGGGCTGATTAAAATTTAATGCGAATTAATTAAAATTTGATTTGAGTTGATTAAAAAATTAAAATAATTTTTAATTGGCTCAAACAAAATTTTAATTAGCCCAAATTCTAATACGTAAAAAAAAATAATTTATAATTGGCACAAATTTTAATATGTAAAAAAATAAATTTTAATTAGCTTGAATCGATTTTTAATCAGTTCTAATTTAATTATGTAAAAAAAATTAGAAAATATAGGGGATCTCATTGAAAATATACTTATTTAGAAGGGGTCTCATTGAAGATATGTTTATNACGTAAAAAAAATTAAAAAATATAAGGGATCTCATTGAAAATATACTTATTTAGAAGGGGTCTCATTGAAGATATGTTTATCTAGAGGGTGTTTGGATGAAGTTTGTCATCAAATATATCATGGCAATTTAGTAAAATTGCAATCTACTTAATATTTTTAATCTGACAAGGGGTGTCATTGAAGATTCAGAAATTAGAAGGGATGTTTTTGAACATATGATAAATTAGAGAGGGCATGGTTGAAATTTTTCTAAAAACAATTCATCTAAAATACCAAAAATGCCCCTACATAAATTTCAAGTAATTTTTCTACATAAAATTTTATTGAAATTCGAGTTGATTAAAATTTATTTTTTTACATATTAAAATTTGATTGAAGCAGACTAACTTTTTTTTTTTAAACATATTAAAATTCGAGCCTATTAAAATTTATTTTTTACATATTAAATTTTGAGCAGATTTGACTTCTACCCAAGTTATTAGTGCCGATTAAAATTCGTTTTCGACTCTATTAAAATTTATATTTTTTTACTTATTAAAATTCGTGTCAATTAAAATTCGATTTATTAAAATTTCAATCAATTAAAATTTATATTTTTTTATGTATTAAAATTGATGCTGATTAAAATTTCAATACGAATTGATTAAATTTTGATTTGAGTGGATTAAAAATAATTTTTAATTCACTCAAATAGAATTTTAATTAATCTAAATTTTAGTACGTAAAAAATATAATTTTTAATCGGCTCAAATCTTTAGACACGAATTAATAAAATAATTTGGTATTAGGGGTATACTTTTTAACAAGGACAAACTGTAAATTCAGATATCCTGATTTTGAATTTTGACAATCTTTTGGAGCAGGCCACGAGAGATTTGTCCATCATAAACAATCTATTATTTGTGTAGATAACTTACCTTTGATTAGACCGAGGAGAAAATTAGTCGAGATGCACGTAAACATAAATACTTTTTTAACACGAACCGTCCAAAATTCGATATGAACCCACTTNTGGACCGAGCAGAAAATTAGTCGAGATACACGTAAACATAAATACTTTTTTAACACGAACCGTCCAAAATTCGATATGAACCCACTTCACCCGACATGTTTGACAAGGCTGGACACGACATAAAAAATTGTTCCTCTTTTAAAAAAGAACAATATTTCACAAAAAAAAATTGCTTCGTGCCCAGACTAAGGCAAACAGCCTCTTGTGCGTTTGCTGAAGCTACTTCTCTTTGATATCATCTTACCTTGTGATGATGCACAAAATTAGTTTGCACACCATTAGTCAATTGAATAATATAAAATACAGTAAAGTAGTGGGAGAGAAAAAACAAAGTTTATAGTGGTTCGATCAATATGACCTATGTCCACTTTGAATGGCAAGGGTCGCCGATATTTTATTAACTTCGGTGTAGAGGGAGAGGAAATGATTACAAGCCTTGAGAGGGGAGGAGAGGCTTATGCTCAAATGAGTGTGATGCCGTCCAAGTGTTGGTGAGACGTATAATTTATAATGACTTGGTGAGTAATTAAATAGCTAGTCCAATGGTCATAACGGATTAGAGTCGTTTTAATAGTCATAACGGTAATTAAATAGCTTGTCGACCTCTCATCTCCTCAACCGGCGAGGAAGTTGTGGTGCTCTCCCAAAGGTCTTGGTCAAAGAATGTGGAAAGATTGATTCTCTCTAGGCCGCGAGGGAGAGCTTCCTGGATGCTCCCTTGGTGGTGGAGCTTCTTGATGGGCTTGTCTAGCTTGGACTTCGTTTGGATTGGACTTGCTAGATCTCTTGGGATTGGATCATTAGTTTAGACCGGGCTTATAAAATGGGTTGGACCTGGCCCATCATTTGCCCCCCAATGCCATACATTTAAGGAACTTGGAAATGAGGGCATTCAGTTGAGTTTGAATTTTTGACCGAACGACAAAATTGGAAAAGCTTCATGAGGTCAAAACTCATACTTCCAGGCCTTTTTTGGGCTTTTTTCAGCTTCATTCACAGCCAAAGGTAGTGATACTTGTAGAGCTCTTCGAGAGTTTTGATTTGACATATTATGGGCCCCGTTGGAGTTACGGATCAAAAGTTTCTATCAAAATAGCGTACATACCTTTTTAAANTCGATTTGACATATTATGGGCCTCGTTGGAGTTACGGATCAAAAGTTGCTGTCAAAATAGCGTACATACCTTTTTAAATCCGAATTTTTTGAAAACTTCTCCTGATTGGTGACTCCATCACTTCCAGTAAACTCCTTTTGCTTGTAGGACCCCACTGACTATATAAACTCTTTCATTCCCTTCCTTGTTTGGATTCTTGGAAAGCCCTAGGGTGCAATTTGGGTTTTTTGTTGCTCCCAGAAGATTTTAAAACCCTAGGTTATAAATAGTAGTTTTCTTCCTCATTCCTCCCATTTCATTCATTTTTGAGAGTCTTGAAAACCCAAGTCCTGCCCATTCCATAGAAACTCGAAACTTGAGAGGGTGAATGGAGGTATTCTTCTTGAATCTTTTCAAAAACATTCAGGTGATATTTTTTGAGTGAAGCATCCAAGAGGGCAATGTCGATTGAGGAGGGAGATGTGCAAAACTCCATGGATATCCTTGGGAATTGGGTGATCGACACCAAGGTAGGTGACCATGGGGCCTTCAGAGTGGTGGAGATCGAAGGAGGCGAAGTAGAGATGGGGACGAGGACCTCGCTGCTGGGCGAGCAGCGACTGGGCAAGCATAGACATGATTTAGGCGCTAATCCAAGCGAGCAAGGAGGAGAGGAAAGAGCGCAGGCACCAAGAGGGGCCATTTTGGGTGAGCACAGGGGTTTGGGCGCCCCTCTAGGCGTTGGACTACCCCGCTTGGGTGAGTTAAAGGGTACAGACACCTCTCTAGGTGCTGGGCTGCCCCATTTGGGTTAGCAGAGGGGGTCAGACGCTAGTTTGGCCTGTTTGGGTGCCACTTTTGGTGACGATTTGACTCCTCCAAGTGTAACTTCTTCAACCAACATTCCTCAAGACCTCCTAGGTAGTGGGTCAGACAACTCCTCACGTCCCCGTAACAAGAAGCACAAAGGCAAAGTGACCCTCGATGATGACGGGTCTAAAGTGAGTTCCATCTCTAGCAATTTAAATTCANCGAGTGTAACTTCTTCAACCAACATTCCTCAAGACCTCCTAGGTAGTGGGTCAGGCAACTCCTCACGTCCCCGTAACAAGAAGCACAA